CATCGCGTGCGTGCTCTTCGCCCAAACAAATAACGCATAGATCGTGTGTGTCATCAGATGTTAAACAAAGACAACACGGATGCACACATCCTCTAAACGCTTTGCTAGTGCTCACCATAATGATATGAATAGAGATCGCTCTTACCACAGAAATGCACGCTTCAAACAAAACAGTCAATGAAGACGAAGAAGAGGATGATGTGTTCTCCCGGTGCCTATTTATACTATAGTCGCACCGGTAGTGACGTCATGGCTGTCGCCGGCCAACGTGTTGTTCGTGTTTCAATGTATGCTTCAGACACGGGTCACGACGAGGCATTCCCCATAGCGACTCCTAGAGGACACAGTTCGAAGTTTCCATGAAAGGGAACTGAACGTGTGTCATGCATGCATGCATTTCATCTTAAAGGGACAGCATTCCTAATTAAGTACCTATCCGTTTCATTAATGTTAACCAACAAAAGATGTTAAACAAATATGTTAAGTAAACCTACTGAATCTGAAAAACGAGTTTAATTTGTATCTCTTTCGTATTTGTCTTATTGTCTTAATCGGCTTCTTTTTCAAAAATTATATATTATATATATATATTATACTGTATATGAACAACTATAATTTTTATAAGTTGCTCCCTTTTCACTACTGTTAAAAGGATAGTTCACCCACAAATGTAAAAATTTCATCATTTATTCAAGTTTCATAGCTACCAAAATAAATGTTGGTAACTGCAGTTTGACTAAAAGTTGACAAAAATGCAATGACTTTTCGTCGACTAAAACTAGACTGAAACTATGAAAGACTCAAATTACTAAAATGTGACTAAGACTACTAAGCATTTTCATCTCAAGATAAAGACTAAGACTAAATCAAAAATGCCTGTCAAAATTAACACTGCTATGTACTTAATAAAATAATGAATTGTTAGTTACACATGTAACTGTGTTCATATGAAATTGCAAAAAAAAAAAAATGCTGCTATTGAGGAGGGATATGGGTAAGCAGGTTTGGTGGTATATAAGTTTAAGGGGTAGCGGTAGGGTCAACAGTGTAATTATACTGTTAAAATTATGTATTTAACTATAAATAGAATATGTAAATAGAAATTAATTACGGAGTTCTCTAGCTTTCTAGTTTCATATATTTAAAAATGTAATTTTAACGCAATTTTAAAAGCTAAATGTTCATGACCCTTCAGAAATAGTTATATAGCCTATTGATTTGGTGTTCAAGAAACATGTCTTATTATTATCAATGTTGAAAACAGATATACCGCTTAATATTTTTTTGCAAAACTAGATACATTTTGATGAATAGAAAGTTCAGAAGAACAGTATTTATTTGAAATAGAAACTTTTTTAACATTATAAATGTCTTCACTGCAGAGGCGGACAAAGTACACAACTCCGTTACTTGAGTAAAAGTACAGATATTGCTGGTCAAATATGACTCATTACAAGTGAAAGTTGTAAAGACAGATTTTTTACTGAAGTAAAAGTACAGAAGTACTTGCATTTAAAAGTACTTCAGTACCAAATGTAAATGTACTTTTTTTATGTTAACGCACTGTTTTATTATTATTGTATGTAATACTCGCAATACCTTATGCCTCTAAAGCATCTTACAATACATTATGCCTACTGAATACACTGACTAGCTTGTAGTGTCTTTGAAATAAAGAGCTTTTAGAATGTTAATAACTACACAGGAACAAATGACTAATGCACTATTAACATTCTAGTAACTACTATTAACTAACAAGAAACTCTGATTAATGATTTAATAAGCAATAGCACTCAATTGAAAGTGGTAGTTCACCACACTAGTTATTCATTAATGACAGAACAGTATTCTAAAGTGTTACCAAACAATTTTATTTAACACCCCTAGCCACCCCCACAAAAGCATGATGGTAGTGATCTCACACAGCTCTGGCAGTGTGCACACATCTACGTGTAGCTAGGGCTGTAGTACTCGAGTCCGGTCTCGCAAATTTTGCAACAAAACTATTGCAGAAACCTGTGGGACAACATCTAATTTCGTAAGGCACCTGCAAAGACACCACAAAGAGAGTTGAGCCGGAAGGCATCCTGAACATAAGAATTAGCCTTTGTATTTGACTCTTTGGTAACACTTTACAATAAGGCTAATTAGTTAACTACATTAGTTAACATAATAATAATGAATATTCCTTCTACAGCATTTATTAATATTAGTTAACTTTAATTTCAGCATTCACTAATGCATTATTCAAATGACAAGTTGTGTTTGTTAACATTAATGCACTGTGAACTAACATGAACTAACAATGAATGAACAACTGTATTTTTATTAAATAATGTTAACAAAGACAAAAATAAATGGTGTAATAAATATATTGTTAATTGTTTGTTCATGTTAGTTAATACATTAACTAATGTTAACAAATGACACCTTATTGTAAAGTGTTACCGACTCTTTTTATGAGGTTAGAAATAGGGCTGAAAGATGAATCGTATTTTCATTGTCATTGCAGTATGAACATGTTATTTAGCAATGGGCACCGAAACGGGCTATGAAATAGCAGAGTTGGTGGATTTAGGCGCCAGAGCGCAGAATTCAGCACTCAACAAAACTCTGGCGTTTTAGCAATGACTCATTTGAACGCCTTTGATTGGCCATTGCATTAATAAACTCAATGGAATCGTATGTTATTGGTTGTAATGCTCACCGCTGTAAAAACAAAAACAAAATTTTTTTATTTTATTTGTTGGCCCTAATATGCACAGTTAATTATTCATTATCACAAGTAATCATCATTGCAAAAAAAAAAAAATTATAAAAACTCCACTGTTATCACACATAGCAGAATTTCCTCATATCGTGCAGGACTATTAGAAAGGCAAAATCAATGCAAATCAGTGGATATGTCTGCTATAATAGGATAGGTGTGTTAAGGCCAGTTGGAGCTAAACTCTGCAGGGCATTGGCCCTCCAGGATCTAGTTTGGAGACCCCTGTCCTACAGAGTTGTTACTTTGCACATGCTTTTTGATCATTACAAATAATAATGTAAAATGATTTTCTTAGAATAGGAGATATGCTGTCTCTCGCATCACATACATTATCAATAGTTAAGTATGTGGTCTTGAAGAGGATCCTTTTTTTTCTCTCATTTGGACTCGGTCTTGACTTGGACTCGAAACTTTTGGACTTGAACTTGACTTGGACTCTAACCTCTTTGGACTCGGTCTTGACTCGGTCTCGACTAGTCCTGGTCTTGGACTTGTCTTGGACTCGACAAAGCTGGACTTGACTACAGCTCTACGTGTAGCCATTCATCCACATTAGAACTGAGTGGACAGTTTAATTGCTGTAAATACAGATTGATACAAAAAATCAAACCTGCTTTAAAACCCAGCAACACAACTGTAGCTGTATACTTTTACACAAGCAACACTACTTTAACAAAAAAGCAAAACCGCAACATTTATTTGACATCAACGCTCTTGCCATACACAGAAAGGTCTGTGCAGTGCTGTGCAGTCAAACACCTATTGTGATTTGTTAGGAAACGCACAACAGTTGTTCTGTGGCTTTATAGGTAATATTTTCGTTTATACAATTATGCAAAATCAGACAATATTGTTCTTATATATACCAAAATATTAACTTATTGAATTGTTGTAAATACATGTTACATTTGCAACTAGTCAGTGTTAAAAAAATACTGGGAAAATCACTTCACGTTAACGCTACAAGAGTGATTACTGATATTCTGTCTAAAAAAATCACATTTTAGAGAAGAAAATATCACCTACTGATTTTTAAAGCTGCTACATAGTAACGACTTTCTACTTAAAAGTGCCCCTATTATGCCTTTTCGAATATTACCTTTCATGCAGTGTCATGTAGCTGTATGTGAACATAAACTATCTGCAAAGTTGTGAAGCCGACATAAAGGTATTGTCTTATCAAAAAAAAGAGTCGGCTCACAATCACCTAAGCAAGTCGTCGGGAATTCGAATCTTATTCTGTTACGGTTCTACGTCACGAAGTAAAACATTTGCATAATGTCTGCCCACATTCTTCAGTGGCACACTTGCCCGCCCACAAACAGTAAAATTTCCGTGTGGTTAACATCATGTCGAGAAGACGCTGTATCCTACACTGTGAGAGTAAATTTGTTTTATCACATCTTATGATTAACACAAACCTGTTAACACTTGACACTTACCGCTGAGAAACATCCTGCTCCAGTCATGCTTGCGAATCAGTCTCTTGTCGATCAGCCACTTCAACCGTTTCATCATCAGGGGTTTAGAGAGACTGATTCTTTGAACTGCTTCGCACGAGTCATTTACGAATCATTTAGAAATGAGGTCAAATTAAATCAATTTTTTGAGAAAACTAACGTATTTTTTGACCTTGCATGCATGTAAACCTGTTTTAGGAGACTTATAAAACAATATTAGCAACCTTAAAAATGGCATAATAGGGGCACTTTAAGGACCTTGATAGAAATGTAGTGGCGTGAAAAGTACAATATTTGTCTTTCAAATGTAGTGATTTATTTGATTTTTTTTTGCGGCCCATTCAAATACCTAATGTTAAGCCCTACACTTCTGGTTTCTCTTTCCTTTTGGCGCTGCTCAGTGTTCCACCTATACAGACGTTTGCCAAATCTGGAGTTGTTCAAAAGTGGAAAAGAAACAAGGGTCCATTTTTATCTGTACCACCGTCCTTTGATTGATTAATACTATGAGCCAGAACCAGGTTTCTTCTTGTGCAGATACTTGAATGCTGTGTTTGTATGGACTGTACACATTGACCTCATCGATTCTGGCATCTAAACCGATATGCATGGACATGACTTTAATTCCTTACATTGACAGAAATGAGACAGCATATTAATCATTGTATAATTTATTATTATATCATTAATATTCTGCACATGATTACTCTTCAGTGCAGCGAATAGTTGTGACTGTTACCTACAACTGTTTGTTTTTCTTTGTGTTTCAGGAATTCCAGTAAGTACTCCGTTATCACTGAGGCTTTAATTCAGAACAAATGTGAGCTGGTCTGGAGGTGGGCAGATACAGCATGGCATGCCTTGTTGGCTTTGAAACCTTGATATAGACTGCAACTGAGGTGAGATCAGATGAAATGGAGAATATATGCTCCAGGAGACAGTTTCTGAATTGATCGCACTCCATTTTTCACTGTCTGGCATCCATCCTGACCGCCTGTATCGTAATAACCAGGCATGCTTTTAAAAAATCCAACAGCTGATTCAAATCTTTTCGTGCCTTCACACAGAATGCATAATAAACACTAGTACATGTTGAAATGTATGTGTACAATCCTCCTTATCATAGTTTCAATGCAGCAGCACAACAGCTTTTATTGCTGTGGTTGTGTCACATTTCTCAACATGAGCAGAAAGCCACAATAATAAAGGAAAAGAGTGTGTAAACATGCATGGTTGCCCCAAACACGTTCCATTTTTATGAACTGTTTGTCACAGAAGCTGTGTTTATGTATTGCAAGTGAGCTAATAAAGACAATGGCAACAATGCAGTATGGAACACTTTAATAATGTCCATTCTTGTGCATATTTGGTGGGTTTGGGATGCAAACAAACTTCTTTCTCTTTTTTAATTCAGATAATGGGGTTTTGTGTTTTTAATTGTACTGTTGCTTTTTCTTCATTAAATCCCTACAGGGCCCTCCAGGACGAGATGGCTACCCGGTAATTGTCAGTCCAGTTATACACTCACTGATCAACTGATCACATCTGCTTTAACCACAAGCTCACACAGGACTTGTGGTCTCATGTAGACCTCAGCTGATAGGCAGAGTTAAGGGTCATAGTGCGCCACCTGCTGGACATATTAGAAATTATTGCTAAAAAAAACGAAATAACCAAACAAGGTCAGTCATTCAACATTCAGCAATTGACATTTAAAAAGTTCAATTCATGCATAAACATGCTGATGCCATTTGGGTTGGGTTTAAACTGCCAGATGAGACCTTGGGTGTGTTTCCTGAATGTATTGTTAGCCAACTATGGTTGCAAGTTCTGTCGTTACCAACATAGTTCTACGATCTGGCATTTCCTGAATCCATAATTCCAACAAACATTCGTAAACAGTATCGCAAAGTTGTGTGGTTGGATCTTGTGCTTGAACAAAAGCTAGTATGATCTATATCTTTCATTCTATACATAAATTTCATTCTATGTTGTTTCGTTTAAGAGAATTAACACAACGTTTTTAAAGAGTTCGCATGTGCATACGTACTCTGGTACCAAAGGGGAATTCCTGGGTGAAATAAGCAAACCTGCAAAATAAAGCAAAATAACAGAGAACAAACATAGCGAAGAAGTCCTCAGTTATAATGCCATTTACAGCAATAAACCATCATTAACAGCATTTCTAACCAACAAGGTTTGAATGTTGGATGTGCGACAAAGTTGTGACTAGCTAGTTTGTTTCGCCAACATTGATTCGTACTATGGTGGTTAATTAGCAAATTACGTTGTTGTACAGGAAACACACATTGCATTTACATTTAGACATTTACTTTTATCCAAAGCGACTTACAAATGAGGACAATGGAAGCAATCAAAATCAACAAAAGAGCAATGATAAGCAAGTGCTATAGTTTTTTTTTTTAAATCATATAATAATAATAAATAAAAAGAAAACAGATAGAATAGAAAAAGAATAGAGCAAGCTAGTGTTAGAGGCCTTTTTTTGCTTTTGTAAATCAGAAGTCAGAAAGTCAGAATTATAATTGTATAATGAAAGTGGCGTGACATGTGGCCAAGTATGGTGACCCATACTCGGAATTAGTGCTCTGCATTTATCCCATCCAAAGTGCACACACACAGCAGTGAACACACACACACCATGAACACACACCCGGAGCAGTGGGCAGCCATTTTTGCTGTGGCACCCGGGGAGCAGTTGGGGGCAGTGCCTTGCTCAAGGGCACCTCAGTCGTGGTATTGAAGGTGGGAGAGAGCGCTGTACATTCACTCCCCCCCACCTACAATCCCTGCCGGTACGAGACTCGAACCCACAACCTTTGGGTTACGAGTCCGACTGTTGACTATTCCCCGAATAATAAATGATAAATAAAAAGAAAACAAATAGATAGAATGCAAAAAGATTAGAGAAGCAAGTGTTATTTTTTTTTTTAAGAAAACAAGCAGTTAGTAAATAATTAGAGTGCAAGTCTAAAAGGGGCAAGTAAAAAAAAAAAAATTAAATAAAGAATAGAATTAGAATAGAGAGTGCTAGAGTTAGAGGGTCAAATAAAGATGAAAGAGATGTGTTTTTAGCCGATTCTTGATTGAAGATGGCTAAGGACTCGGCTGCTCGGATTGAGTTGGGCAGATCATTCCACCAGGAAGTAACTTTTAATTTAAAAGTCTGTGAAAGTGATTTTGTGCCTCTTTGGGATGGTACAATAAAGCGCTGTTCACTTGCAGAACGCAAGCTTCTAGAGGGCACATAAGTCTGAAGTAATGAATTTAGGTAAAGGGGTGCAGAGCCAGTGGTGGTTTTGCAGGCAAACGTTAATGCCATGAATTTTATGCGAGCAGCTATTGGTAGACGTGCATTCTTTTCGACTCGTTAAAAATTAATCTTGCTGCCACGTTCTGGATTAATTGTAAAGGTTTGATATAACTGGCTGGAAGACCTGCCAAGAGAGCATTGCAATAGTCCAGCCTGGACAGAACAAGAGCTTGAACAAGGAGTTGTGAAGCATGTTCCAAAAGAAAGGGCCTGATCTTCTTAATGTTGACACACCCCAAATCTCTCATTTCTTTGTGATTAAATTTTTAGTAAATCAAGTAATAAACTTCTAATGGGGTTAAACAAGTCAAAATACATCAATGTACTTTTTTTCACAAAGGTTTTCAAATGGTATATATAATGGTACAGATAACTGTATGCATATACAGCGTATTACACAGGCATACAATCCATCTGTATGCATAACCTGCCTATTAAAAATGAACCTTAAAACTCAGAAAAAAATAATTTAAATTATCAATATTAGATAAGCTAATTTAATCATATAAAATTTTCTTATTTTAATAGTTATTATTAAAAAAACAAGTTATTCTTGAATTTTTTAACCTATACACCTACACAACTCTTACAGAACAAAGAGATATTGTTCTTTCCAATAGCTTTGCTTTTAAAAGAGGCATTAGTTGCATGAAGCCTCCCTGACAGACCATCGCGATCCAGATGCGATCAGTTGCATGCGTTGGCAGCCTCCGCTCCGCATAAAGATCAACTGGGAAATATAGCCCTGTGTGAAGTCTCTCCAAGCATAACAAGAGAGCTGCTCCAAACTGAACCGTGCGCAGGACTGCACCACATGTGGCCCTTACCGGATTTCCAACTGCACTCAGAACTTTCAGTCATCCATTTCTTCTACATCATGCTAAATAGACTGATATGTGCAACCCCTGCGTGCTTTCTTGTCACTTGTCCGTTGTGAAAGTACAAGCACACACTACCAGATCAAGACAGACAGCTCAATTTTCTGTGTTTCCTGACTATGTTGTTCAGAATAAAGACATTCAAGTCAGAAATCAGAAATATTTGTTTATCACTATATTTATTTTTAGTCCACTTTTACAATGTGTATACAGCGTTATGTTGACATTGTTTTAATAGATGTTGCTCTCTACACCACCTGTTTTACATTTATTATGACCTTTTGTTCTAAAGGTTTTCCAATCAGAAAGTGCTTACTTTTAATTTAGTTAAGTATGTTGGCTTATATTTTTCACAGGTCAGAGACTTAGAGTGAACAGACCTCTTTCAGCACCTTCAGTGCCGTGGACAGCGACTTCCTGTCTTTTAGTCTGAGCTTACTGAAGCCAGTGATGATGGACTAAACCTTTCCTTCCTCTAATAATTTATAATTATTATTACAAAAATATAATATTTTTGGAGTCCATCAAAGCTAAACTGTATGGTATTGATTTTATTGCGAACGATTAATATATGTATGTAAAAAAAATTTTACCTTCATTTTTAATCAAAATGTCAAAACTCGATCTTCCAGTGACACAACAAACTTCTCTCTTGTAAAGTATTCCAGACAGCTCTAATTATTTAGTCTGCTTAAACTCCGCCCCTTTCTTACAATCGACTGCAGGCTTGCATTATGATCTGCCTTCATCCAGTTAAAGGGGTCATATGATGCGATTTCAAGTTTTCCTTTCTCTTTGGAGTGTTACAAGCTGATTGTGCATAGATAAGATCCCTGAAGTTGCAAAGACTAAAGTCTCAAAGAGAGAGAGAGACAGAGAGAGAGAGCGAGCGCGAGAGAGAGATGGTGGGGGGGGGTCACATCACAGTGGAGTCAGCTGTCTTAACCGTGGCTTGTGTACTGCACACATACCAGCGTCATCACTGTGTCTGTCACGCGACTCTGTTCCCCTTTCGGGCTCTGTCTTTACATTTATTTTGAAAGATGAAGCTTGCGATTATGGTAAGGGTGTTACCATACATGTAATAAATGTACCAAGGGTGTACATTTCCGACGAGTGCTTGCGGTGTTCGGCCAATCAAAATGCACTGGGTCAGCTGGCCAATCAGAGCAGACTGCGCTTGTCGGAAGGAGGGACTTTGTAGAAAACGAAGCGTTTGAGAGAGGCGGGGCATAGAGGACCTACAATAATGTACAGTATTTGAAATATAATGTGTTTTTTGAACATTAAAGCATGTCAACATATTCTGTTACGCCACATACACAAAATAATGATCTTTAAAAAAGCATCATATGACCCTTTTAACATCTGATGTATAGACCAATTCAGAGTAGACATCACAGTTACGTCACTTGCAGCTGCGCGCGCATAGTAGTTGCAGAAAAACACTGGGAACAAGTGGAGGTAAATGGGTCAAATCCATGGAATAAAAGAAAAAAATATTTTTGTGCCTTTTGATGTCAAGATCGGAATGCAACTAATTTTTATAGAATAATGTCGTCAAAGACGCCATTTGAAGCTAAACGCAGACGTTTAAATGGACATACTATGGATGAAAACTTTTATGATTACCAGAGGCGGACAGTAACTAAGTACATTTACTTGAGTATTGTACTTAAGTACACTTTTTGAGTATCTGTACTTGAGTATTATTTTTTCTGGAAACTTATGACTTTAACTTTACTACATTTGAAAGACAAATATTGTACTTTTCACTCCACTACATTTCTATCAAGGTCCTCGAAAGTACAAAGTCGTTACTATGTGGCAGCTTTGAAAGTCAGTGGGTGATTTTTTTCTTCTCTAAAACGTGACTTTCTTTTTTTCAGACAGTTTATCAGTAATCACTCTTTTAGGGCTACATGAAGTGATTTCCCAACATTTTTTGAACACTGACCAGTTGCAAATCTTGCACAATTGGTGGCTGACTAAATACTTTTTTGCCCCACTGTATACATAACATTTTTTTATTTTATCTTTATATTATTGACTTTTTTTCCTCGCAAATGCAAGTTTATAGCTCCTAATTCTGACTTTATAACTCGACTTAACTCAAAAATAGTGAGTTTGTCAAACCTGAGGGGAAAAAAGCCAGAAGAGCCGAGGGGAAAAGAGAGAATGACGAGTTGTTTTTCCTTATTAGAATTGTGAGATATAATCTCGGAATTGCGAGAATAAAGTCAGAATTTTGAAATATAAAATCAAATTTACCTTTTTTAAATTATTTTATTCCATGGCTCCATAGACGGCCTCTGCCTCCAGATAGGCTCCGCCCACAAAAAACCTCATCCCTGTTTTGGATCTGTAAGACTATTCCACTCAGTGTTGCCAGACGTACGATAATTATCGTATTTGTACGATAATTTTGACCTCTATATGATCAATAATTTAAAAAATCCCATAATGTACGATAGTTCTTTATATAAAAATACACTTTAAATGTTAAGTTTTGAAATTTTGTTGTATGCATTTGCCATTTTTATTTAATCTCTTTATTTTTAAAATGTGTATAGGTAGTATTTATAAAGTTTTAGCTTTTAGTTTTGGATCTGTTTTTAGTTGTTTTAATACTACAATTGATTGCTTCTGTTGTCCTTATTTGTAAGTCGCTTTGGATAAAAGCGTCTGATAAATGACTAAATAAATAAATAATTTCAGAATTTTGTGACTCTTCAAATGATTGTAGTTGTAATCATAGGGTTTCTATACTCATCCACGAAATCGGCTCATTACAGACACTATAAATGCGCTCATGCACACTTCAGAGTGTGTTAAGAATTCAGGAGGGTGCCCTGCTTTTAAGCCAACAAGCACTATCTTGTGGTCCATGGTGGCATGAACCCCCTCAACATCTAGCAACATGCAGGCTTCCGATGACAGAGACTCACAGGTGGAGTTATTTATCTAGTTTTTTATCTATTGTGGTAATTTGCAGGTTGTGTCAAAAAGTTGTTGGTCTAGATCAGGGGTGGGCAAACTTGGCCCTTCCAGGCCACTTTCCTTAAGAGTTTAGATCCAACCCTAATCAAACACACCTGAAACAGCTAATCATTGTCTTCAAGACTACTAGAAGGCTACAGGCAGGTGAGTTTTATCAGGGTTGGATCAAATCACTGCAGGAAAGTGGCCTGGATGGGCCAAGTTTGCCCATCACTGGTCTAGATAAATAGCTGTATTCTGTACTCATGTACGATAATTTTCTTTCATATACGATAATTTTGAGCTTCTGGTACGATACTTGGACATTTCCAATCTGGCAACACTGATCCCACTCTCTAACGTCAATTTCGTTGAATAACAGTGCTTATCGCTGGGTGACAAGCTCTTGTAATATGTGAATACATTTTGAAAATGACATCTAATCAATATAATTTTTAATCTTTTTAAACCTAACTATTTTGTACCCTATCCGTGAAATTCTCTAGCCGTAAAGGCTATCTCTCCCAGGTTTTCTGCAACCATGATGCACACGCATCCTGAATGTTTACAAACCTATAATTGGTCTATAGGACCAAGTGTAACGGAGGCCAGCTGGTAAGGCAGTTAGGACCGGAGGGGTTACATAGCCATGCTATGACCCGGATGGGAGTGAAGATTAGGGGGGTGAGTGCAACGGAGTCTCCCCTGATCTCAAGAGGTGCACCAGTGACTGACGCTTGAGGCTGTGGTCTTTAGCGTCCTTGTTAGTGTGCCCACCTCTCATGATGGCAACCCAGGTTCAAGTTCCACTCGACTTTTTCAAATATCCATTTTACTCAGATGCCTGTCACTATAGGGAAGAAATTATCAAAATCTAAAATTAAAATCCAATGTATATGATTGCACTGAAATAACTATAAAAACTCATCTGAGTCTTATTCTGTTTCTGTCTCTCTCAGGGTTCAATGGGTATGGATGGTAAGCCTGTAAGTACAACATCATTGGCTTAACTCCAGTTATCTGTAGGGATGTATATTTATTGCTGCACAGTAACACGCTGCTCATTATGCTGTAAAATAGAATAATTTCTAATAATCATTTCTTCAAGACTACTAGAAGGCTACAGGCAGGTGAGTTTTATCAGGGTTGGATCAAATCACTGCAGGAAAGTGGCCTGGATGGGCCAAGTTTGCCCATCACTGGTCTAGATAAATAGCTGTATTCTGTACTCATGTACGATAATTTTCTTTCATATACGATAATTTTGAGCTTCTGGTACGATACTTGGACATTTCCAATCTGGCAACACTGATCCCACTCTCTAACGTCAATTTCGTTGAATAACAGTGCTTATCGCTGGGTGACAAGCTCTTGTAATATGTGAATACATTTTGAAAATGACATCTAATCAATATAATTTTTAATCTTTTTAAACCTAACTATTTTGTACCCTATCCGTGAAATTCTCTAGCCGTAAAGGCTATCTCTCCCAGGTTTTCTGCAACCATGATGCACACGCATCCTGAATGTTTACAAACCTATAATTGGTCTATAGGACCAAGTGTAACGGAGGCCAGCTGGTAAGGCAGTTAGGACCGGAGGGGTTACATAGCCATGCTATGACCCGGATGGGAGTGAAGATTAGGGGGGTGAGTGCAACGGAGTCTCCCCTGATCTCAAGAGGTGCACCAGTGACTGACGCTTGAGGCTGTGGTCTTTAGCGTCCTTGTTAGTGTGCCCACCTCTCATGATGGCAACCCAGGTTCAAGTTCCACTCGACTTTTTCAAATATCCATTTTACTCAGATGCCTGTCACTATAGGGAAGAAATTATCAAAATCTAAAATTAAAATCCAATGTATATGATTGCACTGAAATAACTATAAAAACTCATCTGAGTCTTATTCTGTTTCTGTCTCTCTCAGGGTTCAATGGGTATGGATGGTAAGCCTGTAAGTACAACATCATTGGCTTAACTCCAGTTATCTGTAGGGATGTATATTTATTGCTGCACAGTAACACGCTGCTCATTATGCTGTAAAATAGAATAATTTCTAATAATCATTTCTTTCTTCTTAAAGGGACCTCCAGGTCCAAACGGCAGTCAGGTAGGTTTTTTCATAATTTCAATCTGAAAACAACTAGTATTATTGTGTGTTGTGTAATTCTGTCATGGGCCAGCTTGTAATACATCTTAGATTTCTAACAAAGTCATAACAGCAACATTTGGTATAAACCAGCCCCACCTCCTGGTTTGTGCCGCACAGGTAATCTTCAGTCCATCACCTCATTCATAAGAGTGTGTTGCTGGAAAGTAGTGTTAGATCTTATTCCTCAGGTTACTCCAGGGGCCAGTTGCACAAGCTGTGCGCAAGTAAAAAAGCGTAGTTGTGATGAAAATCGGCACTAAGTTACAATTTACACGCTACTACATATTAAACTTAACTGAAATTTAACCTTACTTTGAAGGCTGCTCATTGGATCAATAAAGGTAAACATATTTTTTGCAACTACATATTACAGAACTACCGGACTTAGTAGAGGTGTGCCTTAAGAGCAATTGATACAACCAAAATTAAAGGGAAAAATTAACCCAATACACCCAAAAATTTAAATACTGACATCATTTACTCACCCTCATGTTGTTTCAAACCAATAAGATATACTTTGAAGAACTTTGGAAACCAAACAACAATGGAGCCCACTGACTTTAAATGTATTTACAAAAAAATATCCTACAATTTTGGAACAACATGAAGATAAGTAAATGATGAGATGATTTTAATTATTATTTTGATGCGAAAAAGCGAGGCGAAACGCAGACAAAAGGTGCTTTCACACCGAATGTGAAATAATTGTTCGCCTTCTGCTAATTCACGCCTGCACGCTAGGTGGCGCCGACCAACAATGCATTTTTCCTCAGATATGCATCTCGTAAATGGATTTAACATCATCCGCTGCTCAATATACAGCATTAAATTAAGATAAACAAGGTAATACACCAGAAACAAACTATCGATAATGCTTACAAGAATAGGCTACATCCTAAAATATAATTAGTAGTACAATTAGCATCAAGCTACACTTGAAAATGTATTCAATAATTTTTTTTAAATTTAATTTATTTGCTTACCCACTTTAAACCATCATCGAGTGGTCATCATTCTCTCTGTACATGCTACCTCTGGGAACCATTCTAAGAAGACATGGAGTGTCTTTTAATTTTTACGCTGACAATACCCAAATTTATCTACCTATCAAAAGAAATGATCCCTCTGCATTTGCTTCTTTAATAAAATGCTTGGAAGAAGTTAAACTTTGGCTAGCCCAAAATTTTTTATCCTTAAATGAAGATAAGACTGAGGTGATTGTTTTTGGACCCTTTGACAATTCTCAGGCATCCAGCTTAGATCTGGGTAGTTTATCAGTGTTTAGATCTTCACATGTACGGAACCTGGGCATTTTGTTAGATGAGTCCTTAAACCTTGACAAACATATCTCCCCTGTAATAGGTTCTAGTTTTTATCAACTTCGCCTGCTATCAAAAATCAAACCTTTCTTAAAGGGGTCCTATTATGCTTTTTCACTTTTTTAATTTTAGTCAGTGTGTAGTGTGTATGTTTGGGCATAAAAAAGATCTAGAAAGTTACAAATCTCAAAGTCCACTCAAAAGGGAGATATTTAGTTTGAAAAAAATCCCTTTTCAAGAACTACAACGAACGGCTCGTTTGGACTACAGCGTTTGTTTTCCGGGCTTTGTGATATCACAAAGTGACTCATTAGAATAGCATTAAAAATAATTCCCACCTACAGAAATTCGAATGGTTGGGGGGTGGGGAGGGGCGAGGTTGTGGTTAGAACGCTTGGTTGAGTGAGTGCATCAAACGAGACGACGAAGAAGAAGAGCTGCTGTGCTGTAGCCTCAAATTTTTGGCATGTCTAGAACAGCGGTTCTCATTTCCAGTCCTCGCGTACCCCCGCTCTGCACATTTTGTATGTTTCTCTTATTGCTTCATACGTTTGTTATATTTGACTGTAAGTGCCCTGCGAAGTGGACATTGCCGGATATTCCGCCATGATTCCAGTTTGAAGGGAGCGTATTTGTTCCATACAAAGGGCATTTAAGTGTGCGAGACATGAATTTAAATTGTATTTACAGAGGTATATTATGTCCCACTTCACGCTTCTCTAGTAAGTTTCGTTTGTGTGTGAAGACGCTGCAGGCAGCGGCGCAGCGAAATCTGTAAATGAATATTCCGAAGTGAAGTAAACTTCAATGGATTTCCCCTGCTCAGGGAGTAGGGAGCAATGGACACTGTGTAGGGAGCATGTCAGTCGGAACACAGTTCATGCACGGAGCTCACTTCTAACAAGATGATAGTGAGAACTGAGAAGTGCCGGATTCGCCAAAAGCTTTTGTTGAAAGACGGAGCAAGGGGGCGTGGCAGTACTGAAACACCGTAGCTGTTCGCCAATCACAACGCACTGGGACAGCTAACCAATCACAACACATTTTGTTTTTCGGAAGGCGAACCGTCATCAAAGCCGGAACTAATCGAGCCGTTTGTGAAGCCTGGGGAGAAAGGTATTGTAATAATATAAATTATGTGAAAAATAATGCGTTTTTCGAACCACCAAGCATGAGAGCATGTTCTAGTACACCCCCAAAACAAAATCAAGACTTTGTAAAAGAGCATAATAGGACCCCTTTAAGATCCAGTGATCAGAATCTTCTTCAAGTCCCACAATCCAAACTCAAACGTAGAGGGAATCGAGCTTTCTCAGTGGTTGGGCCGTGGCTCTAGAATAACCTCCCTTTAGAGATTAGACTTGCCCCTTCTCTGTCCACTTTTAAATCTCTCCTAAAAACATATCTGTTTTCTTTGGCTTACAAATAATTTTCTATTATGGTCTTTGCTTAGTCTTTTATGGGTTTATTCTTTGTTTCTCTTGTGTTATTAATATATTTACTTATTTTATTATTAGGGCGAGACCATGTTGTTGTATAGTTTAATTGTAATTGTTTAGTTGTGCTGATTTTTATATTATTTTTACTATTTTGAATCTCTGTACAGCACTTTGGTCAGCCGTGTGGCTGTTTTATACGTGCTATATAAATAAATTGAAACTTGAATGAGTGCTTGTAATAACTTCCAATTGTGATCTATAGTTGATTTTGATTAATAAGCAGACACATGCACTCTTTTGTTGAATAACGCTACACTGCTAATATTTGTCATAAACATCCTTTATTGCTATAAAAATACCACGAGCTACATACAAAACACATACAGAAAATATATCGTCATAATCATATGTCTATTTGCATTCATATTTCATGTGTAGAAAGTGAACGCGCTCTGACTCATAACACTCACGCACATGTTGCTCTACAGACCACATAATTCAGTGAACAATTAATAGAAATGTTATTCTGTATAAAGAACATGTGAGAATAAATCTGTTCTCAAATACCAACAATAAAAAGAACTCATTTTCGGTGCGTGAATGTTCGCGGTCTATGTGGAAGCGTCCATAGAAATCTATTGTTTTATTCCAGCGCGTCATCGCGTCCAATATTCGTTTCGCTTTTCTGCGCTCAGTGTGGAAAGGCCTTTAGGTACAAACTTACTAGCAGTTACTAAGAACCCAATTGTGCACCTTACATCCCAAATTCAGTAAAAATGGCCGGTGCAACCCTATCCATGTCTTATACTCATATATGTTTACATTGGGGAAGGCCAGCAGGGCCTCAGTGTCACTGTGTGGGAGAAATGAAGTGGTCAATGCCTCTTTTAAAACCCATTCGAAGGGTAAACATTGGAACAATTAATTGCTCAGAACTGCATACAAGTTGGGTGAAGCACATCAGTGGAACACCAACAGCTTTTGCCAGTTACATCAAAGTTTAGAGTCACCGGTTTAAAATCTCGCTCATGGGAAATATGAATAATTAATCATAACTAGTTATGATTAATTATGCTACTAATAACCTGTACAACTCGTTAAGGAAACAATAGTTGCTAGAACTACTGTAATCCTATACAAAATGCGAAGATGGTGATGGTGACATAACTAAAATAAGGTAAAACACAACAAACAAAAATTAAAATAAAAAGGGGTCCTAAGAGCCCAAAAGTATGTGGGGAGGGACCAACCGAACTTAATCCAAAGAGGAGGTGATGGCATCAACAGGAAGTGACACCAGGAGTGACGGGAATAGAGAGAGATAGAGAGGAGTGGTTTGAAAGTTACACTTTACACACCTATCTAAGTGTTAGTCGGATGCTAACAGCTAGCAGTTGAGGTAAAGGGTTTAGCTTAAATGCCTGTGCGGCTGCTAAAGAGTTAGCGTTGGCTACACGCAGTTCTTTGTTTACACAAAGGTCTGTGAAGTGGGTGCTGTTGTCAGATTAACCGGAAGAGTCTGCTCACACTTCCGGGGTCACGACTGGGCACACATCAACAAGAAGATCCGCAATAACCATCTTTATGTAACAGGAGAGATGTACAACATCTCAATCTTATGTAAATGTTCTCCATCTGTGTTGAAGTCAGTATCATCTAGTGTAGCTTCTCCATCACAATCAAAGCATCATAAAATGAAATCAAGTGATTTGTCCAGTGGCATCATTGTTTGGTCCAAAAATAACACCCTCCAATCTATTACATATTTTATGGCATATCGTGGCAATCTATAACAATAAAACTCCAGTCCGCTTTAAAAATATAAATGGTGACAAAAACTCTTCCAAGATTCCTGCTCTACCATTTTGTAATCTACAAATCCGTGTTTTGATCTCAAGTCAACATAAAGAGCACTTGGGACAAGACTATCATGTTTAACATTCTTTGAAAAATACCACTACACCACTGCACTGCTTACTGTGATGAAGCTCATACTTATGAAACAGCACACACAATTACAGCGTTCGAAGAGTTGCAGTGAACACAACACCACAGAGTACGATGGAACTGTGATAATCAGAATGTGTCTTGTTGTATTTGCGGTCTTGAGTAAAGTTTCTTGTGCGGACCACTGAGCAGAATAAAACTAGAATAATATCATCCATTCCCTCAAACCAGCTGTCCACTCATGAAATAAGAGATCTTGTGTTAAACTATATGCAGGAACCTTTGCTGTCATCAGGAATGGAATGTCATAACATTGTTTTATTTTTACTTTTCTGTATCTTTCTTTTCATATTTTGTGATGTATTGGTTTTTATTTACTCAAATCATTCATTCAAACACTCAGATTCAACCACTAAAATATCTGCCAGTCATTTCTGAGGGTGTAAGAGGTGTGACTTGTGGTTTGCAATGGAAATAGCCTGCGTTGTTAAGAACAATTTTTAATCTGTCACTTTGAATCGTTCTCTTCTTTTGCCAGGGAATGCCGGGACTAAAAGGAGATAAGGTATATTCACCCCACAATACATTCCAGCATGATAAATGTGAAATTTATGGATCCGTCAAAGCATAATGATAGTTTTGATTCAAAGAAACGTATTCACGAGTATAAGCTAAGAGCTGCTCTCTCCACAGGGTGACCAGGGAGACATGGGTCCCAGGGTGAGTGTCACAAACATCTAATATTATGCTCAGTCAGAAGTCGTAGTTTACAGAAATTGCACTGATCTGAGGATTCCCCTTGACCTGAAAGTCAATTATAAGGCCATTTCCTTCCACATGGCAGGGCTTGGTTGCTAGCAGTTTTACATTACTGTGTTGATAGATGTAAAATCTTTATCTGTTCAACTAATTCCAATTACAACCTCAATGTGGTATCCATCACTGTACCCCTGCATCTACCAAGCCAGTTTTCTCCTCATCCACGGGGAAAAACTGTGAGCCTTGACAAATCAGGAATTCGCCGGTGCAAATCACACCACTTTTCTATCTATATCTACTTGAACTATCATTTAAATCATTTGGCTCCCTATGCTTCTTTTCCACCATACCTCATGACCATTCAGCAGAATTAGAAACATGTGCTCTGGCTGCTCTCTTTCTTTATGTTAAGAACATGTGTTGTATGCGCTACACTGTCTTTTCTTTACGCCATCAGTCTGACAGTAGAAAAATGATCCAAATCATTGAAAGTTGTGACATGAGCACTCAGTAAAAGGAAAACAGCCTCTCCCATGGGCCCTGTTCCTCTTTTTGTGTGGATGTAAGAGCCAAATTAGCGCTTTTTCAACTTCATTGAAGCAGGAGGAGTATGACCCTTTGGAATCCATTAAAGCTCTCATGGGACAAGGACCCCTTGACCTGGAAGTCGATTAAAGCCGTGTTTCCTTCCAGATGGCAAGACTTGGGTTTGTAGTGCAGGTGGATAGTTGACCTTATGCTTACTCCTGACTTGTGACTTTTGCCCTTTGCCCAGACATAGAAGAAGCAGATCAGACTCACAAAGTAGTCTTTGTGGCATCTGAGGCAGCCAAGAAGAATGTTCTGCTAAGTCGTATGCAGTGTTGTGTAACATTCAGAACTGAATTGAAAATTCTGTTTAGTTTCCAGTTTGGTTCATGAATGTGAAATGAGGTAGCAAACAGGATGCAGAATTGCCATTCAGATTTGAATGTAAGGTAATGAAGTTGAATTGAAATCCAAAGGAATTCACATAACTTTAAATTAGAAAAGCAAACTTTAAAGTTCTGGGGGAAAAAGGTTTAAAAAGTTATGAAGATTGAGGGTGAATAGACCTTACAGATAGATAGATCATAGAGGTCATATAGTAGAGACTTACCATCCAGAATACCCCTAAAAACCATCTAGCAACAATCCAGAACACCAGAGCAACAAACTAAAAACTGCATGGTAATATTTTGGAAACCACGAAGATCATGGTGGCAAGTTGTGCATGGGCAAGCACCCATTTTCTGCTGATGAGGTAGAAATGTAGTTTAGGCATGCTGTGGTTCTTCTCTATGGCTTTTCAGTATAGTTCCTGCAGAGTACGTTTTTGTGCACAAACTCCCTTGACAATCTGTGAGAAAGAAAAATCATGAAAAAGTTTCTCCTGGGAAAAGTAGTCTTTCTTTGTGAATCCGTTGCAGACCTATCTAACCGCAACTCTAAACATAAACCTCATTGCCATGTGCTCCCATTGAAAGTTAATCATATCCAGAAGGTGTATTTGGGCTTGGTTTCTTAAAACAAAAGAATAGCCAGAATAACTCTCACAGGATTCAATTTCAAGTTGAAGCTCAGTTCTGCACAGAAGTACAATATAAGATGTCATCACCCTCCATTATATGTATCGTAACAATGTCATTCTCCGAATCATCTCCTCTTTCTCACTTATGTAATTTCCTGCCTCCGTTTTCTTCTAAATGACCTCTGACCTCCCAGGGACCACCGGCCTACACTGCCTCTGCAGGCCTGCTCAGTAATCAGATTCTCACGGTTAAGGTTTGTCCTTCCCAGCCTATATCATCTCTTGTCCATGTTCACAAACATCTGTGCCGCATACCTTACTTTATTTCACTTTGTTTTTCCACTTCTCCTTTGTTCCCACAACCCTTTACGCTGAGGGAAGATGGTGCAAGCTGAATCTGTTTCTCCAGCTGTGATTACTGGCATCGCTTTCTTTCTTATTCACTCTGTCCATCTTTCTCATTATCTGTCCTTTGCTGTTAGATGGTCTTCCCTCGCTATGAGCATGGCTTTCTCTCGGCTACAGTTGACCACCACACTTTTCACAGGCACCTTCTAAAGGTAGAGCTGGACTTGTGCATGAATGCCTTGCTGCTTTTCTCATTTTCTCCATTTCTTCTATGTGTCATTGGCCTCAATTAGCTCATCTGGCAGTTTACAATGTTGTGTTGCATGCCTGTTTTGAATTTCAAAGAGAGGATAATTGTTGTGTTTATTGACAAAAGAGACGAAAACATGTTTGCCAGACCACAGAAAATAATAAGTGTCTTGCATTATCTTAAAGGGGTGGTTGATTGCGATTTCACTTTTTTAACGTTAGTTAGTGTGTAATGTTGCTGTTTGAGCATAAACAATATCTGCAAAGTTGCAGCGCTGAAAGTTCAATGCAAATGGAGATATCGTCTTTTAAAATTCTGGCAGTTTAATGCCTACAAAGACGGCTGGTAGGGACTACAACGAGCTTCTTCCCAGGTCCGTTACGTCACGAACCCAGATAAACCCCGCCCCCGGGAACACGCAGCAAAGGGGGCAAGGCCATGTTGTGCTGCTTTACAGAAGAGGAAGAGAAAACTAGAGGTGCATGTAAAAATATGTTCATATATGAATCGCAATTCTGTCTTCTAACAAGTTTCAAAAACCAATGTTCTAAAGCAGCGGTTCTCAATCCTGTTCCTCACGTCGCCCTGCTCTGCATCTTTCTCTCTCTCTCTCTCTCTCTCTCTCATTCAGATCGTCAGATCAGCTCCAACAAACTGTTCCATTTATACATTTATTTTCACATTGCTATGAGGAAGCATTATACATGGACGTGTGTACAGTTGCTGTGCTGTATTAAAGCTTTAATCAGAATAAAACCATATATTAAAAGCTAACAGAAGCAGTCGCATTTACAAACAACAGCATATCTAAAAGTATGCGACAACAACAAACAAACATACCATTAAGAGTAGTGCTTGCACAGGTTCTGCACGATCCTCTTCATTAATATTCTCTGCGTCTCAATTGGGCTCAGATTGATAAGCAATATAGAGGATGTCATTGTTTACAATACAACTGAAGCACATTCTGAGCTTGAGGGGGTGGGATGTTCAGACGCGCTAGAGGCGGTTTAGCGAATCACAACACACTGAGCCAGCTGACCATCGCGTATTTCTGAGGGAAGGGCTTCATAAAAACAGGAGTTTGTTAGAGAAGGGACAGATCGGTGTGGAATAAAGGTAAATTATGTGAAAAATAATGAATTTTTTTAAAAACAAAGCATGAACACATGTTAGACTGCATCCCATAAACACAATCAAGCCTAGAAAAAACCCAGTCAACCACCCCTTTAATATGTTAACAAGAATCGTTTTTGTGAGGAACAAACATTTCTTCATACATAGCTGCTCCTTGAAGCTTCAGCCCCAGAAGCATTTTAGCATTTGCCACAACCAAACTCAGTATCAGTGCTCAGAATATCAGTGGTTATATGAGACAAAATGAATGTGAAACATGGTTAGTATAACCAATGTAGGTAAAGTACCTATTAGAGATCAGAAACAACAGTGAAACTCTTTTCAAAGACAATATTCAAATACTTGTTCTCTCTCTGTCTTTAGGGTGATCAAGGTCAGGCTGGGCCCCCAGGACCTCCAGGAACACCTGGTCCCAGAGGGCCTCCAGGAAGCACAGGCAGAGATGGGCCGCAGGGCCACCCAGGAGAGCCGGTGAGTCACTTGCATTCTATCTCACATGGTCTCTTGTGCCTGTGTCTGTACTGAGCTCACTCATTCTACAGCTGTTGTGACTCATATATGAGTCACACTGTGCAGAAGACCCCACTCAGAAGACCAGGTGCAGCTTCTCACTGAGCTGAACCCTGTGCTCAGTGTTGGGTTCAGATATACTGCATTTGCTTCTACATATGTGTTCTTGGCAGATGCTCCCATATCACAGTGACTTGGTTTTAAAAATACATAGATTGTTTAAGACAGGTAGCTGTAGAATACATTTCAGGTGCAATGGTTGCTATGCGTTCAGATTCACTAAAGTTTATTGACAAGGGTTTTAATACATTGCTTTGTGGTATGTTCTTGGTGATTTCTAGGGTGAAAAGGCTGTGAAACACCAAGTCAACAGTCAGCTAATATTGACTCCACTTTTGCATGTGTTCTGCACTGCTGGCACTAGTAGGATCACCGTCAGCAGCTCTTCACCTGTTTGAGCATGTTGAATGGGTGAGGCATAGCACTCTGATTGGCTGTTCAAAGCCTAAAGTACAAAGAGCTCACCCCAAGTTTCTTTAATATTTCTTAGAGCCTGTGTACCTCCTTTTGTGCAAGTCTAATGGATTGCCAGTCAAGGCCTTCTTAGAATCCTCAACTTTGAATAGGGTTGCTTTAATATTTAGTTTTACATTAACTTGTAGTTGTTTCATCTTCCATCACCTCAAAAATCATACAAAGCCTCAACATGCTGTTCTCAGTAATGCATTATATAACAGTCCGTGAGGTGGGATACTTAGTGATTGAACTTGCAGCTTCAGAATATGTAACTCTGATGGTTTATGCATTTGTTTATCCCAACATATGTTCAGCATTTTATTTCCTTTTCAGACTACCATCTAATCCAAACAAAGAATGGTGCAATGATGAAGGGCAACAATTCTCACCTTGCTCTCTCCCTCATATTGGGAGCAGATGTTCTGGGGTCAAGAAGCTCAAAGGCCATTTCCTGTTATTGTATCCCACATTGTGTTTATATATATGCCTAAGTGAAACCACCTCATTAGGCCTGATTCTGTGCCTTTGTCTTTCTCAGAAGTGCTGTGGAACATGACAAATAGACAAATAGGCACAAATCAAGACAGAAGATTTTTCTGTTGAGTGTCTGTAGGAATACATGAAGATGTACAAATTAATTTGATTTTAGGCACGTGTTATGCAATATTTCTTCAATGTTAAATCCGTAGCTGACTTGAATACACATCCTTGGAAGCTTACAGGACGTCTGCCAGAACAGTCTGAAATAGATGTTTAAAAGGCCATTGTGTGGTTGTTTACTGTTGTTTTGGTGTGTTCCAAAGTTACACTCCCATTAGCTGAATTAACCTTGTATGCGTTTAGAAAAAGAACCTGCATCACTTCAGAGCTGCTGTCTGTATCAAAGAATTTAGACACATTTGGATCACTTTTTCTTCACCGACTTAATTAAAAGTAAAAGATTAGATTTAAGTAGTTATATTATACATCATAGATCTAAAAAGGTCTAGAATTTAGTGGACAGTCAAAAGAGACCTGCTCCTTTAAATATGACTAATTTCTTATGTTTGCTCTCTAAAATCAGGGTCCTCCTGGAAAAGATGGATATGAGGTAGAACTTCATTGATTTTTTTTTTTTTTACTTTTTATATGAACTCATTTTATTATTGATCTACAACTTAATGGAATTAAGTAATGCTGTTGAGTGTGACATGTCAGATCTTAATTACACACTGGCTTATGTAATGCACATTTTCCCTACAGGGACCAAGAGGGCCACCTGGCATAGAGGTATATACATGTCTACGAACATATGTGAATCACATGAGTGGTCCCTCAAATATTTTGGACACTTAAGCCAAAATTTAAAAAAATTATGAATGTAGTATTAGTATAAAAATAATCAAAACAGCAATATCAAACCAAGTGGTATTTGTATGATAGTACAATTAAATGCTTAAAGCAAAACACAAAAAATAAGTTTATTTCAAATACTAAAATTATAGATATGTTATTCAAAATAAGAAAAATATATTTGGACCCTGTCAAACACTATTGGAACACCTTGGTACCAGTTTGATAAAAAGTAGTTTAAGTAAATAAATAACGAAAGATTTTAAGATTTTGATTCAAGGTTACCAAGACAAATTTTCTCTGTGTATTAACTTAACAGATTAATTGTTCACCTCAAGACTAGCAATGTGCACTAACAAAGTAAATAGTGTCAATTTTGATGTCATGCTCATTTAAGCCTTTAGAATTGTAATATACTTTAATGTACATTTAATATTCACTACTACTTATTTTTCATTTGCACAATATTTGCCTACAAAATTAATATCCATTGTTTTCTCATTAAGGGTATGAATGGTGTCAATGGCATGCCTGGCCCACAGGGCCCTGTAGGGGACAAGGTTAGATTTTCACCCCCTTTTTTTCTGTTTTCACACACACAAAGACAACCTTAATTTTTATGCAGTTGTTTGACATATAGGGGGATAAGGGTGCACCAGGTACTGAAGGGAAGAGAGGGACTGATGGATCCCCTGGCATGAAGGTGAGCTAGCTGTCTGTTGAGAAGCTGGTAATTATAATAAGAATATGTAGTTATAGTGTTGATAAGATCTATGTAGTTTCATTTAGGTCTGTTTACTGAGTAAGTGAACTTACTGAAACAATACAATAATCCTGATCCCTTAGGGTGAAAAGGGGGATGGTGGAGATCCAGGACCCCAGGTGAATGTTTAACAAAGTCTTTTCTTCATTACATATTTCTTTTTGAACATCTTAGATGCTTGACAGTCATTTCCATCTGTCTCTCTCAGGGAGAGAAAGGAGCTACTGGCTTCATAGAAAATGCTGATCTGGATGTTAGACTCAAAGCTCTACAGGTACATTTCAGTTAGAAAAATGGCAATTGTGTAAAGACCCTTCTGTTATCTCCAGTAATTACTTTTTGTATTGATATTTTCTTTGTACCAATAGGGGCTTCCAGGACCTCCAGGAGAGCAAGGGCCAAAAGTGAGTTACAGTATACGTTTTCATTGAACTGCATTGTCATACACCAGTTACTATTGCTGGAACACATAACATTCAGATATATCTAAAAAATGTCTTCATAACAGGGAGAAATAGGCTTAGCTGGGGCACCAGGACCTGAAGGAAAGCAGGTTTGTTCATACACAGTCTGATTATAGTTATACAAGTGTACGGCTTTAAATAGCTTGATGTTATATCCAGGGCCATAAGGGAGAGAGAGGTGATGCAGGAGTGCCTGGAGCAGCAGGAGCAAAAGGGGAAAAGGGGGAAATTGGACTGATAGGGCCTTCAGTGAGTATTACCATCATATTGCATGTCATGCTTACTGCAACCTTGTAAGGTTATGATACATGTTGATTTGTCATGGCATTTTAGGGCGAAGCAGGGCAAAAGGGAGATAAAGGAGACTCTAGGCTTGAGGACAATCTGGTGAGTTTAAAACACACACTTATATAAAGATCCTATGTAATCCAGATGTAACTTAATTGGATTAATCATGATAACTCTCTTGTAGGCCCAGATTAACTCTTTGCCTGGCCCGCCAGGGCCACCTGGACCTGCCGTAAGGAATACAGTTTAATACTTCCTAACTAGATTTTTGAAAAGATAAAGTAGTTCAAAAGCTTTTTGTTAAGGAAAGCTAAGCATACTAACCGCCCCCCCCCCCCCCCCCCCCCCCCCCCC